CTCGGGGGGGAATGTTCCACCCCTTCCCCGCCCTCCCTGGGGCTGCGGCGGCGGCAATGGGGGGCGGCTGCGGCGCTTCGCCTCCAAAGGCTGCCCCGGCACCTCTGCTTGCAGCGAAGGGTTAACTCTGCTCCTGCTGACATTTTACCTGTTCCCCCCCTTCCTCCGCGCTTTTCCTGCTAATAATTTCGTGTGTAAGGGAGATCGTCCGTGCCCCCCACCCCCGCTTCTGCACAGCTCCGTGGAGGAGCCTCCGGGGATGGGGTGGGGTGTTGGAAGGGGATTGCTGTGTGCGAGGCTCTTTCCTGTGTACCGCCAGCCGGGCTCCCGCTCGGCTGCACAAAGAGCAGCAGTAGAGGCCCTTGCTTGCCTTTAAAGGCAGCAGCTTGAAATTTAAGGTGTCCCAGAGCCATGTCTATCCGCAGCCCTCAGCGCTACACTCAATGGAGAAATGCTCATTGCAGTTTTTCACCCTGTAGATATCTCTCACTTGTGTTGCTATTCCCTGTCCTTGGGTTTATTTTGGGTAGGTACCTGGTCCTGTTCCGAGATGCGCCGCCTGACAGGCGGTTTAGCTGGCACTGCCCCGAGCGCCGCAGGGGAAGCGCCCCCCCGCGCTGCGGGAGGTGGCAACAGTGGGGGAGGCACCCCGCCCCACCAGCTTTGGGTCCATTGGCCCCGCGGACGCCCCTGGGCAGCTCCAACACCCCCTGCTGTCAGGAGGGTCTTGAGAATAAAGCTTGAGAATAAAGGACTGAGGGAAGTGAGGTGTGGGAGAATAAAACTGAGCTCTGGAGAAATGTTTGGCTAGAGTTTCCCCTACAATATGTACCAGTTCCAACTTACATACAAATTCAACTTAAGAACAAACCTACAGTCCCTATCTTGTACGTAACCTGGGGACTGCCTGTAATAGTCACATTTTACACACCGCATAGCCAAGCTAAGATTCAATAGATGGTTTCTAAGATATAGGGTGCATGAGATACAAGTCTGCCATGTTAAATATGTAGGGTCTTTTCTCAGCTTGGGTAACTCCTTAGTGAGGTATGAGATCTAAAATGGTTGTGGCAGGAACAGAATTTTAACACCAGTCATTAGATATGACTCTCTAATTTATGGTGTCCTGGTTCAGCAAGAACAAGAAAAGGATCATCTATGTCGGGGTGGGCAATAATATTTGCAGGGGATCTCTTCACAAATTTTGGTTTGTGGTTGCAGGCTGGTTCTGCCCTCTCCTCCGCCCCCCAAAGGGCAGGGCTTCAGGCAGAAAGGACAGGGCTTCAAGCACATCTTTAATGTGGCAGACTTAGGTCTCAATTGGCCTGGGGGCATGGGAGTGGCAAGGTGGGCCTTGGGCCAGATCAAACAGCTTGATGGGTTGGATCCACTTGCCCATCCCCGATCTGTGTTGTCTGCCTTTTGGAGGTTCGGCTATTGGCTGGTTTGGGCAGTAAATCAGGAATGAGTTGTAGTAAGCAAAATACAAATTAGCCATTGTGATTTCTTTTCAGCTTCTAATTTTGGCCAAATTTGAATGATCTGCTTAATGGGGACATCAGAAGGCACCTCCGTGACCCCAGGATTATCTCTGCCAAATTTTAGAGTCCTGCTGCAAACATGGAGGCATTAGAGCTCTTTAAAAACAACAGAAATTGTATCATGAAGAGTGTAAAGCAACCACTAGATGAGGTCACTGCCACTCCCCCAGTAATATGTATGACATAGTGTGGCATCTATTAAAGCAACAAACATATTATGTTTTTTTCATAAAAAGGATTAGAAGATAGCTAGGTGAAAACTAACACATCAGTTTCTTCAGCAAGTGTTATCTATCTTAGAGCATTCTCTCGCACATTCACAGATACAACCTCCAAGGGAATAAAAGGAGATGTGTGTCCCACCCTCAACTTTGTATATTTTGTTGATGTTCTCTCTCCGTATAATTGGATTTTTATTCCTGGTCTCTCCTCTCCCCATTTGCACTGTTTTTTGTCATGTGTCGTGTCATTGCCCACAATCCAGCAATCTAGTTATTTCATCTAATTTAATCATCATTGTGAATGTCAATCAGAACAATGAAGCTCCTGATTTGATTTTTTTTAAAACAGCAAACGAGAAATTAAAATGAGGAAATTAGACAGCACCAAAGTACGCCCTCTAAAGTCTGAGCAGCTTCTCCGCATAGAGGACCATGACTTTGCAATGAGACCTGGATTTGGAGGTAAGCCGTAGCTGTATTAACATTTCTCCACTAGTTGTTAGTTTCTTTTTGCAATGTAAGCTGCTAAACCCATGCCCAAAAATGGAATGTTAGGTTTAACTGAGATCTGCTTCCACCGCTCAGCTTAAACCAAGCAACAGTTTACAATAAAAGGCATTTTTATTTACTTTTGCACAACTGTAATAGGAATTGCCAAATGATCTACTCACTAAGTAATTTTTTATCTTTACTATTACAGAAAGAATTCTATTATCCAAACATTGTATTAATATAGCTCCCTAAAATTGTGTAGTCTAGTATCAATTAGCAAATTCCTTAAACTCATCACATTTGTTTTGAAGGATTTAAGCAAGATACCAGTTTCAGAGTCTATTGAATTGGCATGAAGCACTGAATAAAAAAACAACAACACCTCTTTTATTTTTGGTTTACAAGCAGTCTCCGGGTTACGCGGATCCGATTTATGTTGGATCCGTACTTAAAAATGGGGCTTTTCTCACCCCGGAGGACGTGAGCGGCGGGGACCGCCCAGACGCGCCGTGGTCCTGCCACCCGCGTCTTCCGGGGCGAGAAAAACTGCGCTGCGTCTCCCTGGTCTGCTGGGGTGGGCCCCCAGCAGACCAGGGAGAGGGGAGAAAAGAGGCAGAGGACCCGC